GTGAAAATGAGACCATCTATATTCAAGAGATCTCTCAAAAACAATTACACAGACGAGCATCGTGAAGGCAAGCCAGCACAGCCACACCTTTGATGCACAGATGGCATGTGTAAACTGTCTCGTTCCCCCTCCTGCTCTTCCTCCTCTCCGCTGAAGTCTCTCTCTCTCTCTGCCTCTCTCATCCCTCATGTCCCACATTCTTCCTTCCTCTCATCATCCTGTGTGTCACTCAACGGATTTCTCTCAGTCTGCCGGCAGCACGGCACCTCGACTTGCAACCCGTCCTGCCTAAATTTAATAAATGAAGCCTTGCAAAATTGGCTAGCAGGGCGGGAACACCACGGCTGGGTAAATGTTAGTTGAAATCTTCAGTTTATAAAGATGGTTCGCTCCTTCTGTGATTTGGAGATTTCATAGAAAACAGCCAGCGATGGGATTGTCTACGGGCAAAACAACTTGATGCCAGATGATGTTCTTCTCCCTAAATGGCTTACTGAACACTGAGCTGAGGCGAGCCCAGTCAGGAGTTCTGTGGGCTTAAGGATAACAAGCAATCAAACAGACTCAGACACTAAGTCTGATTGGGGTCAGCATCATTGAATTCAGTCATGACCTCCCATTAGCGGTCAAGAGATGTCAAAAGGGGGGAAAGCCTGATTACAAACATGGGCCTTCTCAGTGTCTGGGAGCAGAAATTGTGTTATATAATAAGAAACCCACTCAGTATATCTATCAATTCAATTTTGAGAAATAAACATGTTATTTCTGGCAGTGTTGGAGAAGATCATCGATATCGCCTTTCCAGAAAATATGAAGCTACAGCCTAGCAGGCTGTAGCTTCATATTTTAGCATGAAGATGGAAAAACACATAACACATAACGCCCTCTTGAAACAACGACATGTCACTTTTTTACACAAAGCAAAGCTTGCTTGTTTTCAGTCTTTCACTCTTTGTGCTAAGCAAAGTTAACATGGTGGCCAGCATTACGACTAAAAACATGGGAAACCACTGAGCTCCATCATATCACATTTGTTTATTAATCTGTACCAAAATCAAAGTGTAAAAGCAGAATTTCACTGTTTCACGTAATATTGCCATGCAATCAATGGCAATTCCATGAAGTTACTGCTCACATCGAAGAAGTATCCAAATCATTAGATATCAAATCAATTTCATAAATGGAAGGATGGAAATATTGGAGGTAAGTAGCTGAAAGAACCAAAGCTTCTGTTGAGTTCTAAGTTCAGTCAGAGGCTGAGATGAATGCAAACACACACACACATCTCTACAGTTGGTGTATTGGATGTTTAGGAAGAATAAACATTTAGTTCACAAACGGTCCAGCAGTCAAATTTGCACAAACGACACAAGGCAAAAGTTAGCATTGCTTTCTGACTAAACCAAACAATCTTGTAAAAGTGGTAGTTAAATGTTTCCTCCTGTTTCAAGTCTGGCTGTAGCCATACATACCATGGTATCGATATTTTCATCTAACTCTCAGCAAGAAAGCGAGTTAGCACATTCCCAAAATGTCAAACTCTTCCTTTGAATGAAATAATTGAACGTCTGCATGGTGTTGTTACCGTCCAAGTCACAAAACCTCTGCAGAAGCTCTCTGATCTTGCCAGTGCAATGCCAGTGGAAATAGAGAAAGCTGTCTCTATAATTATAGGTGAAATGAGATTTTTTCGCTTATTGCACTTGTGGTGAAAGAGGTCTGAATAAAGGGCTCCCTAAAATGAGACGAAGCGCAAAGAAACACTTGCTTTGCTTCCACAGGCAAAATGTTTAACTTTTGTGAGACCTGCTTTGCCTTGTGACAAGCTGATCGACAGATAATCTGACTGACGGATCGCATCTTTAAAAGAAAGTGGAAGTTGCCAAGCAAGCCCAGATATAGAAAAGCAGTCAGTGAGCTAAAGGAGACAAGGTTACCCCGAACAGTAGAGAGATTTCAGCTGCATTTCCATCCGCTTTATGATGAAAGACTGCTGTCATGTTAAATATCAGATATGGGGTGGATCACAGAGATATCGGGAAGAAAGAGTGCAGATTGGCGAGGCATCTGTTGAGAGCCTGATAGTTCTGGAAAAGGAAAATGAAGGGCACTCCAAATCTCTAATGTGCATCGGATTTTATGCTCTTTGCATGTGTGCGTGCTGAGGAGCAATGAGTATGTTTAGCTAAACAGGGAGGCCCGCTGAGGATTCAGTTTTCGCTCACAGAAATTTCAACTTTTTCTTATTGCCTGCTTCAAATCTCACCAAGAAGGTGTGGGGGCGTTCGGCTGCTCGGAGCCGGGGAATCGATGCCGTAGGCAGGCAGAGCGAGGGATCAGCGCTGAGAGGTGCGGAGGACGGCACACTCTTGCATCACTCACTGGGCGTTCTTGGCAGCTTGTCGTACTTTGTGTGTGCTCGTACAGGAAGACCTTTGGCTAGTGATGTGCCTTCAGCCCTGTATCGCCAGAAAAAGCTTATTCTGTATCCGCGTAGGTAGACTTCCCGCTCTCCAGTTCTTATTTCTGAGATAATTTCCCCCTGCCTTTGTTTTGGTGTATGTACTGCCTGAAAGGTTTAAACACAGGTGAGATGCAGAGGGCAGAACAGTTGGAATAGCTAATCCCCCACTGATAAAAGGTTTAAGGCTTAAATCATCCAACAGCAGAAAAGACACAAGTGAGAACTGAGATGCAGCAACGACAGCAACATTATTTCACCAATCTGTCTGCACATCACAGTAAAGACACACTTTAGCCAGCGTGACTCTGCCACATCGGGAGATAAATGTGAAAGAGCGCAAACAGAATCGACCCCCATTCCCAGGAGTAATGGAGCTGTCAAAGGCCAAGTCTGACCCCTCAGTAACCCACCGGGGGCAATGATATGACACCTATCCCTTCACACTGGCAGCGTCTGCAGCAGAGTGTGTGTGGGTGGGGGTGGGGGGGGGTTCGCACATCTGATGATAGCAGTCATCCTCACTGGAATGAGGAAAAATAGAGGTCATTGTGCCACTGTTACCTCATGGAAGAAGTGTGTGTGTGTGTGTGTGTGTGTGTGTGTGTGTGTGGGTGTGTGTGTGTGTGTGTGTGTATGTAGTGAGAAACCCTGTAGAGAGCTTGACAGTGACAGAGAGGGAGGAATGACACTCATGGTAGGAAATTATTGTTTGATGCCGGGCTGGAGCTGATGAAACCTGCCTCAGTGGAATATGGGAAATGTCTGGTCCTCATACACCAGCAAAACTAATTAAATCACGATGGCAAAATATGCAGCTTATTTTTATTTATTTAATTTTTTCTGCGAGTCACTATGTTGCTTCTATTTACTGCCTGTTAAGATACGATGCATTTCCAAGACGCAATGACATGTACCCTACGGCATCAAAGCGTAATGCACGGCGAGGCAATCTTGCATCCAATCTAGAGACTCAGCTCCAGTAGACGGTGTGGTCTCTGGAGGGGTGAGACACGCATCCTCGCTCTGCCTATCGCCGCTCTCCGTCCATGGCGCATCTCCAGCTCTGAATCCACTTTGGCTCTGGACACACCGGCGGCAGCGCTCGACCCACACACACACATACACACACATATATATATATATATATATATATATATATATATATATGCACACAATTTTCCAAATGCAGCGCACAGGACGGAACCGGACGTAGAAGTCCTTCTGCATCTGATCGAGTGCGTCTATGGTAAGGCAACATTTTTTTTAAATCTGTTGTTGCATTTTACGCGCAGCGAGGTGCAGACGAACTGTTATCTAACTAACAAGATGCTCTAATCGGACAAAGAGTATCATGATAGTGATAATATGAGGAGTAAAAGCAGTATTTATGATCACTCCACACAGCGACTTAAAGTGTGTCAGCAGTTGATGAGTTTTGACCTGGTCTTACTTTATCGGCTTTGCGATGCTGCTGCTCCACACGGGCGAAATGTGTTTCATTCTTCTCACATTAATCAAAGAATGCTACAGTAGTTTTTAAGTGATATTTAGCCGCTAAAGATTTGAATACATGTATTCAAATCTTGAAATATTGGTATGAATCATTGAAAATATATTTCCACTATTTCCAGATGCAAAGGTTTGCTCTCCATCACTGTTAAGCACCAACCGGGATTTTAATGGATTTCCAGGTGAACACTGGTTGATATTCGGTCTGAACGTCTAAGACCTATTTTCACCGTTTTTTCAACCGGCTAAAATGTGGTTACAACATCAACGTGTCACAAAACACCAACGTTTAAAAAAATGTTGATGGTTTGTTCAGTTGTAGGTTGAAAGAGAGACGATATTGGCTTCTGTGAACACAAAAATGTTCTCGAAAGTCATATTACACTGAAGTCTGTGGTCTACACAAAGATATGATTTGAATGTTTCATACAAAATGTCATAAATATGGAACTATAGATGTATGCTGCCAACAAGATGCTCCCAGGACATCGTAATGAGAGTGTTTACTGCTGGAACACGCTTTGGCTTTGGCGCTTTGGCTCAGAGTGCTTCAACTTTGAAAGTTGCACTGGTCTGGAAACTCGGCACTGAACTTGAAGAGCGAAGTGAACGAGCTGACGGAATAAACATGAGGCTTCACGCTAACGCCATACTTTGTAAGTATTTTAACTACTTTATTTCAACTATGCAAAGCGAAATTAGCCCCATTAGTATCATTTTATGCTGCTAACGATGAAGGCGAGGCTGCTAGATTGTAGCGATAGTATGTTAGCTTTCAGTATTAGCATGTTAGCCTATAGCGTACTGCAGCATGGACCCACAGTAAACATAAACATGTGTGTTAGTTAAATGTTGGAGACTGTCTTTATGGGCTATTGCCCCAACGTTATAAAATTTAGTTTTTAGGCCATTTTACATATGAAATACACGACAGAAAACGAGCAGGGCTGTACACAGTCTGAATGGGGAGGAAGTGAGTAAAACAAAGTGATGTGTAAACAAGAAGATGATCAAAACATTGTTTGGCATGCAGCAATATACAAACAATATAAAATATTATACTGTGTAATATCCCAGTGAGCATCTTTCCGCTGAAAGGACGTTTAATAAACGACTGTGGTCAGCGGTGAAAAGACGTCAAGAGTTCAAAAGTGAACATCTTTTTTCAAATACTTGTTTCTTTTGCAGATGGCCGTCTGAAACCTGCTCCTGTGACGACGACATTTAAAGAAGTAACGGAAGATTTTGTTCATCAATCGTGTATTTTCAATTTCATTGTAGTTGAATTTAAAGAACATTGTTGATATTGTATTTATATTGCTGCTTAATAAATACAAATGAATTGTTGCCTTTGTCTCTTGGTCTTCTTTGTCCTGTACGTGGAAGTTGTTGAAGTGTTACTATGACTACCTATTTAATTGCTATTTCACTGTGAGCATTTTTAGGTTTAAAAGATGTTTAAAACACAGTTATGATTAAAAAGACGTTCAAAATTGAAAGTTTTTTTGTTAGAAAAATTCACTCGAGGCGATGTAAAAATCATTAATCACAAGACATTTATATTTATTTGATAGACAAAACAGCTGCTGAAGACGCCTGGTGTCCCAGAAAGTTCACACAAGGACACAGGCCTTAAACACTTACAGAGGACATGAGCTTTTGTTAAATGTAAACATTCCTTAATCACTTAAACACATACTAATTAGTCATTTCGATTTTTTCCCAACATTTTTCCACTGGCTTTTTGAAGACCATATTTCACCAGGATTTGCAATATTAGCTTTCAACTGAGAAATGTGGATGCGGTTTCTTAGTAAGCCTCTAAAATGACGGAATACTATTATTTACACAATGAAAAAAAATCTCTATTGCAAATCCCGGTGAAATATGGTCTAAGCGTGAACGTTTAATCAATGTCTTCTAATAGTACATGAAAAAACTTTAAGTTTTAAACCAATTTTGAACGTCTTTTCACTGGTAAAATGCTCACTGGTTACTGTGTCGATGTAAGTGACAGGGTGAGATCAAATTGCAGGTCTCTTTTGCTACTAATTAATTTCATCTTCACTTAACTCCATTATTTCTTCGTTATGATTCATTTATCACTCAAACAGCCCACTGTTTGTACTGCTCTTCCTTCTGTGTAGTGCCTTTATTCACTCTGTGTGTGTGCTGGAGGAATCATGTAGGACAAGATTCATCTTCTCTCCTCCATCACAGGAGCTCCTCTGTAGCCCGGGGTCAGATCTAGCTCCTCTGCATCCTGCAGCGGCTCTGCTCTGCTCTCCGCCTGTGGCACTCTGCATGTATACATGTGTCTATAGTTGTTGGTTTAGAGACAGAAAGAGAAAGGGAAAAGGTAGATAGATGGAGAACAGAGGGAAAAAAACTAAGTGGAGATTTGAAGCTCCTCTTGGCGTTATACTGTTGCTCAACCCTCTGTGTTTCCCAGGATTGATCGTTGCCAATAAACCACCTCACTCAGAAGATCTGTGAACACACAGAGGTGTCTTAATAGAAAAATCTTTGGCACTGTCACATCCCTCAATCACTTGCATCCCAAATCCCTCAGTCCCAACCTCATCACTAGCTTCTAACCTCATTTGTTGCCTTTATTTTCCACAGAGGCAATTGCCTTTCCTCCACCATGCCCAAATATCATTACCTCCACACACCTTTGCTGCTAGCTATGTTAACTTAGCAGCTGCAACTGCTGCTGAATTTACAACTCAAACCCGCCAGAGCAGCGCACGCCGCATGGTGTAATCTTTGGTTGATCCTGTCCCCGAGGCTTTTATCCCCTGTAAGCACTATTATTGTTTGGGGGAAACAAAAGCTGGGACCATCTGAAGTTCGTAGTCCCTTTCCAGCTGTTGACAGAGTGTCTATTATTCCTGGTACGAGCCTCGGTACGGGAGGAGTTATACGCCAGGGAGAAAAGAGGACTTGCAAATCAAATTGCTTTAATCCATTGAAGCATCTGTCCTCATTCTCTAGAGGGCAGCAGGGTGTGTAGCAGAGGAGGCACTGAGCCCCGATCACGACTGGAAAGGAAAACAAAACCTGTCGCTGAGGAATCATATGTGCCTTGGTCAGCCAGCTGTGCAGTGCATGTTGGGTATGGATGGCAGGACTGTCAAATTGACAGATTTTTCCCCCTCTTTTCTCAAGTGTCAGATATGGTAAGAAGCTTGGTCAAAGTTTTTCATTATCTGCAGTCATTCATGCTTCTATTTCTCTGCTTTTTCACCCATTTTTTCTGTCTTTCAACAAACGCACAAACACAACGTGCAGCTTTAAAATTGTTCCGGAAAAAGAGACAAACAGTACAGCATCCCCAACTCTGTGATTCTGTCTGCAGCTAACAAAGTTTTTCCCCCTGATGGGTTGATTCTGTGATTGCTGTTTTTTTTGTCGTATTCAAACAGAATGGCTCATGATGTCAACCCGATTTCTTTTCCCCTCACCCACAGAGTAAATGTCTTTCGTTTTGCGCTGTTTGTGATTAATGGAACATCAAAAGCCGATCTGAGCTCAGTGTGATACATTCCTGAGGATATGAGTCTGCCAGGGACACATAAACATCATTAATGAACAAGAGACAGACTGGAGTGAGACAGAGTGACAGAAAAAGGGTGAGAAGAAGCAAACAGGAAGGCGATAGTTATTTTTGTCAGTAATATGACGTCTATATACCTGTGGTTTTGATGATGATTGCCTCGGTGAGTGATGGAGACACATTTTGCACCCCGGGATCTGGTGTGATTACCTACCATCGGTCTGGTGCGAACAGACAAATGGATGGCAGCATCTTTTTTTTTTTTCTAAATCCATTTGGAAAATCACATCTCCCTTTGCTCTTTCATGCCCAGTGGCAAAAAAACTCGGAAGTGTACAAAGGGAACTTCTTCACTCATCTATGTGAAGACAGCTATATTTATCTGGGTATGTAGCTCTCTGTTGGGCTTAGAGGCTTAATTACCCAGACGAGAGGAAAGCAAAAGTGAAATGCAATTATGCAACTGTGCGCAGAGTAGGCTATCTTGAATAGTGGAACTGTTGTGACATTACTGCTAACATTTCGCAGTAGAGGTCTGATCTTTGTGTCGTGTTTTTCTGCAGAACAAATCTGTGGATCCTTTAGGGAACAAATCCTGAATCCAAAGCGTTTAGGCTTCTTCTGGTAGAAATGCTAAAAGGTGCGGTCTGTTTGCTCCACTTGGAGAGCGAGAAAGAGCAACCTCTCCTCCATTCTGCACTTTTTATGAAACACAGACATATGTGCTCTCAAATGATTCTTTTTTACATTTTGGTAAATCTCTCTTATTCACTCTTATTCACTTACTTGCTAATATGAAGCTACAACCAGCAGGTTAGCTTAGCTTAGCATAAAGACTGGAAACTGAGGAAAACAGCTATATCTTGGCAGTCTGAAGGTAACAAAATGTGTCTACCAAGACCTCTAAAGCTCACTAATCAACATGCTATAACAATTTATTAAGTGAGCTTTAAAGGGATGATTTTGTCAAAGAAAGAGCCAGACTAACTATTTACTCCATTTCCGTCTTTATGCTAAGCTAAGCTAAGTACAGACATGAGAGTGTTGTAGATCTTTTCATATAACTATCAGCAACCACACTAGAAAACACTGTTACACAATTAGTAGGACACGCGTTCACATTCTAAACTGGCAAGGGAAATCTCAAATGGAAAAGTTAATGTGTCATGCTTTACCTTCTCCTGTTTGAGTGCCCTTGAGCAAGAATCCTAACTGCTCCAGCAAGAGCTGCTCATTGGCCATCAGTGGAGGGCTGCAGGCGTAAAGGAGTGGGAGCTAGCTGCACATGCATGAAGCTGAAAAAAAGGCATTAAAATGAAATCTCATTGTGTATCTCTCTGTGCCTCCCTGTCGGCGTCAGCGTGAAGGATGTAGAGCCAGAGGGGGGGACAGGATGGAGTGTTCCTGGAAGACGGTGCTGCTGCTGGTGTGTGCGTCTCTTGGGGTCCAGTACACAGCCATCCGCACCCTGAGGGACTCTCTGTCTGGGCCCTGTCAGGGGACCTACCGCTGCCAGACCAGACACCACAGAGGTATGCCTCAATAGCCAGTCAAGATTGTCCCACATACTGTCCTGCCTCGCTACAGGAGAGCAAAACGTGTGTATGGCTGTTGGCGTATAAGCTCATATGTATTGCAAGTGTGTATGTTGTTTATGTTGCATGCATGTGTTGTGTTACAAAACTCGGTTGTGCAGCACCGACACACACTTGATTGGTAATATTAGTGAAATGTTCCCAAAAAGCCTCACACGCAAAGGGATTCAGTGAAGAGCCAGAATTAAAACTGTGACTGAAAATGAAGAAAAAGGAAAGCAGATCATTAAACGAGGGAATTCCCTACAAGTGGGGAGGATAGAGAAGTGAAATATGTGTGATTTGTTTTACAATTATCCTCCAATTTATCTCCATTAATCCCCTCTCATAGTGCAGCTGTAGATGCAGCTCCTGTGTATGAAAGTAGCATCCCCTTTGCAATCAACTCCTCATCAGCAGTAATTACACGTTAGCTATTTGCACTATATTTAGAGATCCGCCATTTCATAAGCCCCTTCGGTAACCACCGGCAGACAAGCAACTTACTCAGGCATGTTTACCCTCTAAATTATTTAAGCTTTATCGGCTTGATTCAGTCGTTGACTTTCTCCTGGACTGAATTATGATGAAAACCGACACTTTCGCTTTTATGAGCTGAAGTAACTCTTCTGGAATAAGTGAAATAAATCTTTTTTTTTTTTATCAGAACCTGGCTCTAGGAAAAAGGTAAACCGGGTTGTGTTATGTGTTGTTAATAGGCTTGTTGTAGGACTACATGATGCAACTGACTTCAGTATCACATAATATGAGTTAAACATGTAAAACGACTGACTTGGTTGTTTCTTCCTTCTAGACTCCAGGTGGAAAGCTTTGTGCGATGACGGCTGGATGCCCGTCGATTCGCCTCGGAAGCACATCCTGCTGTTTGCCACCACGCGCAGCGGCTCCTCCTTCACCGGGCAACTCCTCAACCAGCACCCAGGGATCTTCTATGTATTTGAACCTCTCTACCACGTCCAGCAGGCATTCACCAACTCCAGCAGCAGGCTGCGTCGCACCCTGGACCGCCGGGCCCTACTGGGAGCATACAGAGACCTCCTCCTCAATCTATACACCTGTGACCTTCACTTCATGGAGAATTACATCCGTCCGGAGCCCCAGGACCACGTCACAAGCTCCTTCTTCCGCCGAAGCTCCAGCCACGCACTCTGTTCCCCTCCCGTGTGCTTCGATGGAGGTGATGTGGCGGCCTCTGCTACGCCTGATGAAACCTGGTGTCCCAAGAAGTGTGGGGCCCTGAACCTCACCCTAGCCTCTATGTCATGTCTGTCAAGGGAACACGTAGCCATCAAGACTGTGCGGGTCCCCGAGGTGGGGGACCTGCGCACCTTGACAGAGGATCCACGTCTGGAACTGAAGATTGTGCACCTGGTGCGAGACCCCAGAGCCATCCTTGCCTCACGCATGATGGCCTTCTCAGATCAATTCCGCGCTTGGAAAATATGGAACGCAACTGGACGGCAGCCTCGATATGTGGACTTGACACAGATCACCAGTACCTGCAAAGACATGGCGGGCTCTGCAGAAACAGGCCTGCAAAGGCCGGCATGGCTGCGGGGACGCTACCTGCTGGTGCGGTATGAGGACCTGGCGTTCAATCCAAAGGACAAGGTCACTGAGATCTACCGGTTTGTAGGGCTTGAGATGGAGGACAGGGTGCGGATGTGGATTGCAAAGAACACCAACAGTAATGTGTCGTCCCCTTCAGAATGGAACTACAGGTACTCCACCACCAGAGACTCCAGAGCGACAGCAGAGACCTGGAGGCTGCGTCTGGGCTTTGACATCGTGAGGACTGTGCAGAATCTGTGCAATGACACTCTGGCTCTGCTGGGATACAAGCAGGTTCACTCTGCAGCTGAACTCAGAAACCTGTCTCACAGTTTAGTGGAACACAGGACCTTTCAACCAATCACATGATAGATTAGATTTTTAAAAACTGCTTCTTTATTTATTACAGCTGACTTTCCTCTCATGATGCCGATTAAATGAATGTAATTTATCTTATTTTTCAATAATGCCGAAAGTAATTTATTATAACTTTTTATGGTTTTGTTAAAGATATTAAAAGTGCCAAACGTCAAGCGTGTGTGACACGGGAAAGGGTATTTATCTAGAATAAAGTCTATACTGCTGTATATGTTGATTGAAAAAAAATGTATCGGCTCGTTCGGCAAAACACTGAATCTTTCTGTGATTATTTATTATTATTATTATGCTGTTTTTTAAAATACATTTTCTCAGAATTTCAGTGTTTAAATGACAATAAGAGAGAATTGAAAGAGCAGGGACCATTTCAGAGTAAATCTGACCTCTGACCTACATACATAC